TTGTTTCTTTGGTACCAATACAGAACTATTCAATTGCTTTTAAATATTATATAATTGACAACTAGCAATACAAGCCAGGTCCTGATAATAAAATTCTAATGCTTTAGATTTGAAAAGTATTATCGAAATTAATGAATAAAATTTTATAACTGATTTTATAACTGATATCCGAACACCGCTCTATCGAAAGAAATGATAGAGATGTGGTTTGCTGAAAGCTTATATTGAACGCACTCGTCCCAAAGAGATGATGACATCAAAAAACATCAAACATATTCACCTTTTTCGTAAGCCATAAAATCAAGTTTCAGAAGACAGCTGACACCTAATAAATACCAAAAGAAATTTTTGGATTTATTTTGCGTGAACATTCGTCAATTCGTCAAGCTATTTTTGAAGTTAGTACCACCTTTGCTGACAGTTGATCGAAAACAACATTGTACCGATAATTCTGAGAGCTATTTGAACCAGTTGAAGCGGGAGATAATAATGACTTTTTGCATTCGTATGCAATAATGGACAAAACTGCGATACATCACTTTAGTCCAGGATCGAATCGGCAGTCAGTTAAGTGGACAGCAGCGGCCTACCTCACTCAAAGCGGAGAGTTCATTGACTTCCTTAAGAAAGGTTAAACAGCAATAGCGATTGTTAGATGGCTAAACTGTTGCGGTTGAAGAGGAAAATCACGGAGCAGTCATTGCCGAAACTGTGACATATTTTAAAGACAATGATGTGTCATTCTACGAAAGCATTATCAAAATCTAAGAACTGCGCTCAAATTATTAAATTACTCTTCAAAGAAACTGCTTTGATAAATGAAGTTGAGTTTCCACAAAAAATTCTCGTCTTATTGGTTATCCTAATACAACTATCTATGACGTCTAAATAACATAACTAAACTATATTTTTTATTGCAAATGCTTACTCACTCCGAGAGTTCAAATTACACTTACACACCGTTTTCTTGTTACATTATCACTACCAAGAGTTGAATGTTTGTGTTGGCAACGCGATTGGTAGTGCAAATGAAACTAAACCAGGCTTTATAAAATGCATAAGATTTTAAAAATATAATTAATTATATTTAGTGAAAAAAATAATTAAAATTAAGTTATAAAGTTGTTATATTATTTATATTTTCTTGCCGAAAGCAACGTGTCTTATGAGAAAAGAAATTATTTAAAAATCCTAAGGGTTCGAATACAAATGAAAAGATAACAACAAAAATTTTAGTTAATTTATTGAGCTTTCGAGTATTGCCAAGTACTCATCATCAGTGGTCTTAGGAAATATTCGAATATTTTTAATTAATTTATAGTCCGTGCATAATTTGCTTGGGCTGTAAATAAATATATTTTTATAGTTTATAAAGTTATTCTATTTAAAATGTTTTGTTTAGTGTTGCCAACATTTGAAAGTAATAATTGTTTATTATATTCAATTAATTTTTTTGTTTATATATGGTACACTGAAGATGATCTACGAAGTCGACCGAAATATCTGTATGTTAAAATATATAATAATATATAATTAAATTATTTAACACAAATAATTAAGTTCCCTGAACATGACTATCGAAGATAGTCGAAATATCGAAATTGTACTTCAATAAAATTTGTATAAATATAACTTACAAATAATAGTTTTTATTTAAATGATCAATTAGCCCGCTCAGAAATAATTGCAAATTAATAATTGTAATTTTTTATCATTTTTATTTGTTAAATAAACTACTTCAGTCCGGTGATCAAAATCAAAAACGAATTGAATATTATATAATCTAATACATGAGACTACACATGGAATATCCTTCATGTTGATAATAATTTCTGCAATAAATTTAAAAAAAAAATCTTTAATTTAATAAGCAACACAACATGTTACCTTTATGTGCTTTAATTAGTTGTGCCGTAGTAGTAAGTAATATGGCAAACAACAAAAAGAAAAAAATTAGGAAATAAATAAAAATGCTCCAGACGAACGCATTCCTGTGTGCATGGTTTTGCATTTATGTTAGCACAGGAAAAAATCCTTTTAAACCTTACATCCACACAAGTCATTTTTCTTTTTCAACTCAACTCGGTTCAAAAGTATGCAAAGCATAATTCACACTGCTTGAATTGTAGCAAAATCATGCGACACGTGAATACCCTCAAACGCGTCATGCATGAGAATTACACCAATCTCCACCAGCTCCACTGGCTGTCTTTCCCTGTAATACATTCTTTCCTCGGCACTTCTCTAAGCCGCATACAAAATTTTTTGGTGCACCACAAATGCATATCAAAGCATTTCCACATCCTCACTATAGTACCCAGTTAGTTAAAAGACCGACCATCATAGAACTCACAAATTTACCATATACTATATATATATATACATTTTTTTTCCTTTTTGAAACTTTTTAAATTTATTTATTTTATTTCTTATTTAAATATGTGCATACATCCAAGTTGGACTTTTCATTTCGCATGTGTTTAAACATCAACGAAGCACCGAAACTGTTATGTATGGAGAAAAATCTTAATTTTCCAAAAACGGAAATGGGTACTATGCGCGCCTTCAGGACATGCACCGGA